CTCATATAAAGCAGTTTAGCTAAGGATGCTCAGTAAAGCAACTGGAGTAAAATAAGATACAACCTGTGTATTGCAGGGGCTGAACTGAACTTGGTAAAATGAACCAAATAATGCTTGAGATCAGATTTATGCTCATGTTTTGTATATGAACAGTTGCATTTTCAGTGACTTTGTTATGGCTTTATGCTCATTGATCTATGGTGAACCTCAGCAGGGGCTGTTAATAAGAAACTTCCCTGTGTGCTGGAGGAAGTGGACAGAAGCCATGAAAATAATTCTGTCTTATCAATAAACCTATACAGTTTTAGTGCTGTGACCTGTGCCAGAGCCTGAAGTGGTCTTTTTTGGTCCGTATTCTACCTTTGATTTACCAGTTGCAAAAATGAGGATCACTTAGGAATAAATACTCCTGATGTAACTCATTGGTGTCAGCTGTAGTTCTTCCAGAGTCAGAGAGTAACCTTCAGTGTTCAATTTTTAACCAGGCTTTCTGTTTTAAGTGAGAGCTAAGGTCCAGGTGACTGGGATGTCTTGCTAGGGTTGTTAATTTGAAAAAGATGTGGAATACTTAAAGGTGAATTTGTGGGGGGAAAAAAAAAAAAAAAGAAGCTTTAAAACTCCATAAATCTTACAAAGGCTGTGCTAGATGAGTAGGACTTCTCTAAGACTGCCTTGAAGGTACTGTGGTCCCATTGATGATGTAAGTTGTACTTTCTTAACACTGTTGTCTGAATTTGGCCCATGAAACAGACTTCAATCTCAGGATGTGGGTTTTGGAAGATGGAAAAGCCTTGTGTATTTCAGACTTATCATTGATATGTTAACTTGTCAGGAACAAAGGCTATTTAGCCTCAGTGCAATATAATGCTATAAGAAAATGTATGCCTTGGTAGTAGAAGTGGCGTCATTCTATAAAAGACTGCAATCCAGTTTGAAAGCTGAAGCAAGAAGAAAAATTTTCCAGGAATTTGTCTTAAGACAATACAGAAGAAAGTCTGCCTTTGTGTGTGCACCGTGTTTGTTCATGGCAGAACTCAGCGCTCAGGAGTTCAAGCTAAAGAGCGCATTTCCTGTTACTTGTGAAAATGTCTACAGAAACTGGGCCTCCCTGTTCTCTCACTCACCATTTTCTACTCTTTACTGTTTTTCCCATCCTTCAGTTAAGAAGTTCAGTAAGAAAGCAGGAAAATATTGCTCAAATCTTTTTTTTCCCTAATGTCATGCTAGAACATCATCATCTTTGGAAGTCAGATCCCTTTCTACCTTTCCCTACTTGGCGTTGAAACATTACAAATAAGCATAGTGCTTCTAAAACTTTATATTTTTTTCTGAATATGCTTTTAATTAAAGATCAAATTTAATTACAATAGCTTCTTAAGATTTTTCAACTAAAAGGATGACTTTATAAGGTGGAAATAAGATGGCTATGACACTTTCTAATGAAATAAATATCTGGTGTAGAGAATTATATTAACACTGGATTACTGCAGGACAATGTGAAATCTGTCTTGAATTATCTGGAAATGGTGCACCAGAAATAAGACTCCCAACAATAGAATGTGTTTCTATCCCAAGTGACTGCCTTGAAATCACTTATTTTGGAGTAATATTAAATCAAAGACTTGAAAAATTACTCACTGAAGTATAACGTGCTGTTTTGAAAGCTTCTATAGCCTTTTCATTAATAGATGATAATGAAGATTAGATAACTTTTTTCATGTGGACTTGTTAATCCTAGCCTTTAAAGTAGAAACTGAGCAATAAACATCTAATGAATAGCTTATGGCAAGTTTATTGTTTCTTAGAAGCAGTGTTGGCACAGATCAACATAAACCATTTATTGTTAACTTCTCAAAATTTAAAAACAGTAGCTATGACTTAAACGTGCCACATGTACATTAGATATCAGTAGTTTATAGTGCTTTAGGGTACTTGCAACTTAAGTTAGTTTACATTATTCACAACAAATACCTTCCATTCTAGAAATGAATATATTAGAAAATATTGGAATATATCAGAAAAAGAAACTATTCTTTAGTATTTTTAGGTTATCTTAGTATTGTAAAAGGCATGAAAGAGCAAACTGTCATGGATGATTATTAAATTCCTTACTGTACTGGATTTTGAGTGAATCTGTAGAGGCAGTATTCTAACTCATCTGTGTAAATAATAGAAGAATGCTTTGGTGGTGCCAGTAACTGTCATTGTGGTACAAGGCTGCTAGTTTAACTCCAGTATGCATACTGTTCAGCTTTGCCAAGAGGATGTACACAATATGAGCCATATTTCTGTGTATTTACAACCCTGTTTCTTTCTTTATCAACACAGTACCTAAACAGATTTCTGTGAAAATGCAGCAGCTTTATGCTCAGATTAGCAGTTATTAATGAAAATGGATTTGTGCCTACTTTGTTTTTATTTTTATAAGTATAATCACCTGCACTAAAAGTAAATATATAATTTATTGGTACTCAATGACTAGTCAAATGGACCTCACTTTAAGATGCTAGTCTTCACAGTACTCTAAAAAGGGATGTAGTATGTATCCACCAGCTCCGTTTGGGAGTTTGAATATTGTCTTTACAACATCGGGAAAGATCAAATGACAGCTCATCTGGCAAGAGACAGTTTTTTTTAGCAGAATAAGTGTGGGAGTGGGACAAGCAAGATCACAGATGTCCAGATAATCTTACCTTTTCTTACCTCTAGATTTCTCCCCTGTTCTGATGGCCAGTGTATTTGAAAGAACAGGGCCTCAGGTTTCTTTTCTTGCACATGCAATTTATTTTTGTTTAGCTAGGTGCATATATTAAGTGTTATTGCAACAGTCCCTCCAGGACTTTCTTCTCAGTAATTTTCCACTTATTGGCTGACTTACCTGAATGTATTTGTTAAATTTACTAAATGTCTGACTAGCCGTAAGCTGCTGAAAGCCAACTAGGGAACTGAAATGAATAGGAAGAAAATACCCTCACTAATTTTCCTTTCTGACAGTTAAAAAGACTCAAAAGCATTTGCATTACTTTTCCATTCAAGCAGTTAACTTCACTTCTGAGTTATTTTTAAACATCAGGGACTTCTAGCTGAAATAGTCACCTAGGTCAGCAATCCCGGATTTAGGCAGTATATTATTTAAGTAGTGGGAATATAAGCAATTTTTATGTTGTATATGTGATTTAGTATGTTCTTAATAGTGTGCCAATTTTATTTCAGATTTAATTCTGGAACATACTGGACTATGCAGTCCTTTTGGATTTCTGCAACTGTTGCACTTGGAGCCATACTCCTGTTGCAGAATTCCAACAGGAGCAAACATATGGGGATTCTTCCGTCCTTGGCTTGCCCCACCATTTGTTCCACATTTTAAACCAACTGGTGCTGTACCCAGTGGAGTACATCTGTTACGGTTTATTACTAGAAATTTGCAATTCATTTCAGAGCTTGCTAAAATAATTATAATATTCATGGCCAAGAGTACTGCATTAAGCAATTACAAAAGATAGTAGGCAAGATTTTGCTCAAGTGCATGCGTGGTTCAAGAGCTACTGTCCAGTTTGGGTGGTTTGGGCACTCACTGGCCTATCAACAGTGAGTCAGATATGCTATGACAACTGAGTTTGATCAGCTTGAGAAATTAATGTAGCAGCAGAGATGCTGTAAGTGACATCCCTTATGTGAATGTCCCTGCTCTGTTTTAATTAAGAATGAAAGAAATTAGCATAAACCACCACTGAATGCAGTTGGTTGCCATATCTTGCCTGAGATATTCAGCTGGGGAACACCCAGAGGTGGAGCAGAACCTATCCTGCTGGCTTTGTGGAGCTGCATCTGTAAGCACCTTCTTAGAATGCTACCTCTTTGCCTTAAAAAGCAACAACAACAACAAAACAACCCGAACACAGGGAGAAAAAATACACATCCAAAACCCCTAAAAACCCAAACTACATAAGCATCAGCGCTAAATGCAACGCGGGTTGCTTTTTCATCTTTATCACCCACACAAGCAGATGTACTCAAGTGAACTTTTAAAATCAGGAAGCATTCTGATATACATAACCTATCGCATTTGTCAGTTTCTGTCTCTAGCTCTATAAGTCAGTCTTGCATGTCTCTGATGCATAGCAACAGTGAGTACGCCTTATTCACTGCAGCCTAGATGTATAGTGCTAAAGTGGAATCTTTTTAAAGGAAATCTTACAAAAACCAATTTCAAAAGTTACAACAAAGAGTATGCCTGTTTTGGTTCCCTATCTTAGATCTGGTTCTTGATCTGTCAGTTGCATACTGTTCACACTTGCCCTTTGAATTATACGAGGTCAGTTTTGTACAGAAACCTGTCATTTGCCTAAGCTGAAGAAAAGCTTGAGTTCCAAAAGGCTGACTTAATTTTTCAAGTTACTCTTTAATGAAAGACTTTACAAAGTTCAGTCTGCCCATGTTTTCTGGCTACAACTGCCACTTAAAAGTACTGCTGTATTCCAGCACTTGCATCCTTGCAAGTGAAAACATTGAAGAAAGGAAGATTTGTAATGAGGGTAACTTATCAGGTCACCATGTGCAAAAGCAAGTTCTTGTATAGGAAAAGCTGGAGGTCCCACTGTTGTGATAAAATGTGTAAAAACAGCATGAGTGCTTTAAAATCTTTTTACATGTTTTGCTTTGCTGTACACTTTTTATTTGAAGCATTATAATGAAGTAGAATCACGTTTCCGTGTAGCCGATGTTAGAAACATTGGGGAGTGGAAACTTATCGTAGGGATGGCTGGCTGCTGGGTGTAATGCTGCTTTATAGATATCACAGGAATGCCTTTTAAATGTTCAGAAACTAAGCATTGTGGAAAATGAAAATCTAAACAGATTCCTATGACGTTATGCTAAAATACTGTTGTTCTGGTTTTACATAGCAGTGTAAATAAATACTTGGTGTGATTTAAGAAGCTTCAAATGTATTTTTGGAAATTCAAATCTGTTTTTTTGTATTTTCTCTTTTCTTTCTACAGAACCTCCTGGCTTTAAACCCCCGAACGCAGACTCATGCAACTCTTCATTCAACTGTAACGAAGAAACTAGTCAAGAAGCATTGGAAAAGGAATTCTGACAAAAGTTGTTCTGTAAGTAGACATTTATTATTGCATCTGAAATATGCAACAAATTATTGAGGCTGGAATCTCAGTTGTGTGGGAAATTCAAACTTGAATTTGCTGTGGTGTTCTGTAGCCAAAGTTGTCTTCTAGTTCTGCTCCTGCAGATAAATTGTTACTGGTTCTTCAGAACCAGTACATGCCATACATCTTTCTTTTTTGGGGGGCTGGTACATCCTTGAAGTAACTTGTTTTCCTCTTGTTCTGGAGTCGGATCAGCCTTGAGCACCTGTGATTATGGCATCCAGCTCACCACTTCCCTGAGCCCTGCAGGGCTGCTTGCTCTGGGTTGCCAGCATTGGCTGCCTTCTTCCCACTCTGCGTGGCTGCTGCCTGCTTGCTCCTATTGTTTCTGTTTTCCCATGAGTAACTCTGGGAAGAGTAGCACTTCTGTTGGTTTTCTTTCCTGAGAGTTATAACTGTTCATTCAGTGCAGAAATATGGAAACAATACACATTTATATGTATGTGTAATATATATATGCGTGCCATATATATACATGAAGATGTATATATTTTATAAATAAATGAAACTGGTATTAACACAGTTCTCAATTTCTAAATTTTTTACTTTGTATTTTTTCAGGAAATAGGTATTGAAATAAATGTATTTGCATTATAAAAGGGCTATAGTGTTTAGAATTTCTGCCATTAAATATCACTTTTTTCTTTCTAGGTATTTAGTTTCCTAGTCTCAGTGTGATATTTGGCTAATCCAATCAGACATGGTTGTCTCTTTGATCTCTTGGCTGATTAGAAGGTCTGTAGGGCTTTTAAGGTATTCCTACAGATTCTGTTAGATAATCCTCTAAATTCAGAGGACTGAAGTCCTGCTTCCAGAGTACTATTTCTGCATCTCTAAACTGTTTCCCTTATGTGTACAGAATTGTGATGTGTTTTAATAGTGTTACCAAAACACCTTCTGCGACTAATTTGGGTCAACTTGAACCTAATTTTTTTTAAACAAAATTTTCTCAAAATAAATCCAGTATAAACAAAAAATTTTCTCAAAATAAAGAACTCCAACAAATATCTGCGGGAAGAAGCAACTTAGGATATCCTTAGTATTCCAGCCATCCTCTATTAATCATGATTCCTACCTTTGTAAAATGACAAGAATCTGTGTTGCTGTAGCTAGCTTTCCTGTTTTCTTATTTGTTAGTTTAGGTTTTTCCCAGTTGTTACAACAATAACGTAAAGCTTGGGTTTGTGAACAGGGATGATTTCTTTAGGATGTCCAGTGCAGTTATTGCCCACAACTGTTTTGATGTTGTACAGGTAGTTGAGCTGCTCAGTAAGCAGCTCCTGGGCAGCTGCAGTTTACATACTGATGTTTTCAGGTGGCCTGAAATCAATACTGAGCTTGTGAACTCCTGTGCTTTCAGAAACTTTGATAAGAGGCTTAGGTATCCATGCGGTAGGGGTAGCAGGCACCTCTGCAGTTACCTCATCAGCTGTTCCTATGGAAATTATTCATTACATAGTTGGTTGAAGCTCCAGTTATAGTGCACGTATATATTTTTCTGATGAATGTGCACACATTTTCCAAAGCTCTTAGCCTTCAAATTTGTTACTATCTCTGACTTCTCCATTTGATCTTTGTACTTTCAGTTCATAAAATCTGGATATTTAAAGTTTTTTTTGGTAATTGAAAGTGCCTAGCTTTTTAGAAGCTCCCTATGTTCCCACATTCCTACTTTTAGTTATGTGTACCCCATTGTCTTCAAAGTTCTTGAAGCCCTAAGTCCTGAAATTATTGGGCCATGCAAACAGCATGGATCTTGAGGTCATAGCTAGTTTGTATGTCTTGGCTGAATTTTGATTCAGAAGAAATTCTGAATGTCCTCCAATATAGCGTGATGGTATTTCTTAATTGATTTACAATCTATGTAGATTGCTCTGAAAGCAATGACTCTTACGTCATAGAATCATTAAGGTCTAAAAGACCACCAAGATCGTTTAGTTCAAGCATAAATCCATCACCACCATGCCACTTAGTGGGACACCTACCTGTTACTGCACAGAGGACTTCAAGGACACACCTCTGCTTCATATGTGCTTCCATGTCAGACACCATTTTGTGAGGCTACTCCTTTTCTGCCATCTGTCACAGGGCAGCAAAATGTAATGGAGTAACGGTAGGAGGGTTCAACCACTCCTGCTGTTCCACCAACATCTCCCTCTTATGATGTGGGCCAACATCATAAAACAGGGGGCATTACTTTCAGAGCAGCCCTCATAAGAAGCAATTTGGTTTGGAATTCTGCATTACTGCATGCAGGTCTGTGGAGCAACGACACTTTTACATTCTCCAGGTCATCACTGATTAGTAGGCAAGAACAACCAAATGCTTTCCTGGCCTTGTATGAAAACTATAATGTAGGAAAGGGTATATAGAACATAATTCTTGTTATAGTTTAAAAAACCATTGGCAGTAACAATTGTGCCTCTTAATGGACAGGTCAGGCTCTTCTGAGAGACCACAGAAGGAAGTGTGCTACTTTGCATTTCCTTAAAATCTGAATTTGTCTTTTAGCTTTGGATTATTTTGAAACGTGGCTGATGCTGTCTTAGCAGAATTACTGTTAGAGGGAAGGTGGGAGTATGAAAATACAAAACTAATTAAATTAACAGCTCTCAAAACTCTGAACAAAAGCTGCATCTGCTGAGGCATGCACATAGTGACTTGATAATGTCTAATGTACTTCCAGATGGCAGACTTAAATATTTCTTCAGAATAATTATACGAGTGAAATTTTAACTCCTCGTCTGCTCTGAGACACTTTTGCCCATTAAATGAGTTCTGAAGTGGAAACTGAAGAATGTCAGTGTTTTTCATCAGTGCTCTTCAAGGATGGCCCAGTTACACTTTCAATAAGTGCTGTTGTTTATTTAGTGTGTTTAGCAACCAAATTTTGTTGTAAAAGTGATTTATTGTTGTAGATACACAATCATTCAACCTCAGAAATTTTGTCAGCTTTAGATCAGAGTATATGGGTCACCCTTGGTAGCAATGCCAAACCTAAACATTAGCTCTGTTGGCATCTTCTGAGTCATGCTGGAAGGTGGCATAAATTTCAGGAGCGTGGCTGGGGAAAAAAGATCACTTTGTCAGAGGAAATCCAAGGCAGAAAAGTTCTGAGGTGCCTATACTGACAGTAGATCTTTGGAAAGGATGGTAAATCTAGGCCACAATAGATCATCAATGTCATAGATAAAACCTGAGCAAAGGAATAAATTGTGGATGCTGTGAGTTTCTGATTCTGGTGATACTTTGATTTCAGGATTTTCCTCAGCAATTCAGGATTGTTTTAGATATCAGATTTATGTTTCTATTTATGGTTGCCATCTTGCTGTTCTTCAATTTTGGTAAGCATTTTATGCTTGATGACTACTCAGGAGCTAGAAGGGCGCTTACTGTGCGCATTTGCATGGCAGCTAGCACCATGCTGAAGTCCTTGCTTGTGATTAGTGTTTCTAAGCATTATGGGCTGAATTCTGCTTGTATGTGTACATGTGCAGATTTGTGGCTTTTGTACAATTTTATAGAAATATTATAAATTAACTTCTTGCTGGATAATTCAGTAAGATGTTGTATTGCAGCATTTTTTTAAAGAAAGACAACTTGTGGTACCTACTTAGTGTAGAAGATGATACAAATCTATCTATATATTCAGAATTTCTTTGGATTCTGCATTAAAAAATAATAGTAGAAGTTGCTCCAGATGGAAGAGTTGGAAGTATTTCAACTAAAAAGAGACAAAGGAAATGGAGTTTAAATTGGTTTGTAGCTAATTGCCGTAGCCTGTAACAGTATTGATTTTCTGGCAGTAGTAGCATTGTTCTTTGTCCTTACATTTGCTAAGCCTGATCAACATTTTGCAACATGAACTTTTCTTTCTTGAACAAAACAACTTTTAAGCTCAGCTTTTTTTTTTTTCTTTAGTGACATCACTTTGGGACAAGACTCTCTCATTGTTCTGTAGTTCATTCTAGCCATCGAAGAGAGCCAAATTCTTTGCTTTGTCTTCTGTGCAATGTTATAATGCAGCTACCAGATTGGTTTGTGCTGAGACCTGCGCTTAGCTGTAAGATGCAACAGATCATGTTGCTCTTTAATTTCAGTGGATGTGTTTACTCCCTTAAAAGAGTAATGATTACAGGGTAAAATTTCAAACTACTTTTAATTTTGGCAGCATTTCAGTGGCTGTCACTGTTGCATATGAAAATCTGTTGAAAAAAAAACCTTATTTAAAGTACAAAAAAGTTCACTTGGACTGTTTGCTATACAGATGTCTGTACTTGTATAGGAAAACACGGATATGAATGATTATCTCACAGCTATGATCAATTTGTTGCCCTTAAGTATTGCCTTACAATTAGGTGGAAAAATGTCATGTGATTTTTTTTTTTTTTTGTGCCCAATCAGATATCACTGAATAATTGAGTTAGCAGTTCTCATATAATTGATGGGTGGAAGCAGAAATAGTGCAAATTGCAAAAAGATATGAAGCCTGGTTCACCGAAGCCTAAAACCAGGAACCTTAATGAATAAATACTCAATGAATAATTTGGCCATTTCTAGACTTGTATTGATGAAAGAGTATATATTTATAAATAAAAAATAATCTCACATATTGTAAAATAGAGAATGCTTATTAACAGAAATCAACTCAATTATATATATAATCTAAATGTGCAGTTTACCTTTGCAAATATTTATTTTTGTCTTCATTGCATATGAATATATAAGCTTAGCTCTTTTCTGAATGGATATACAATGGCAGATGTCTCTCTAATCGCTGCTCTATTCAAACATTAATTGGTAGAACATATGTAGAAATCTACTAGTCTGAATAGGTGTAGGATAGCAGCAGTCTTTTTAATCACATCACTATTCAACGACTAATTGGTGTGATGATTAAGGGACATTAGAGGGAGCACTTTGACATCTGATTCTTTGAACTGATG